ACACACACACACACACACACACACGAGTGCGCTCTCTCTCTCTCTCTCTCTCACACACACACACAGAGTCATTGACGCGTGTTGTCGTCAGAGCGCGTCAGTCCGCAGCAGCAAACAGTTGATTTCTCCAGATCTGCTGCCTGCCTCATCACAATATATGCGGTCGTTTATGGCTCAGCTTGATTTTTACGCACCAACGGTATTACCTGTGTTAAAATACTCTCTGTGACTTTGAGATCTAGAAGCTAAAGAAACAAATCCCAACTGTATGTACTCAGAAGAACCCGAAATGCACCAACATGTCTTTATAGCGAAGAATGGCCTCTAGTGGAAGCACTTATAAACACCCATTTGTCCTTACACGCTGCTTTCATATGAATTCTCCAACGTCCTGCCTCGACACTATAACATAAGAGGATGTCCAACCCTGAGAAATGACGCCCCCATTCCCCCCCTGAACAGTGGGAAAACACACTACAGCAGTCCGGAGTTGAGCAGCTGCGCCAGAGTGCGGCGCAGCCGGGGAGGAGATACGCGAACGCCGCCGCTCTCAGTGCCGTTCTCCGGCTCCTCTCGAGACGAGCCGTCTTCGCCTCCTGGCTTCATTTGTCAACATTGTACTTGGAGGAGAGGACGGGGCGCGTCTACATATTGGACGTAGATACTACAGTGCGCGTAAAACACGGCATTCTATAGCGTCTTATAGACTTGACGCGCTTTGATGTCATCCGGCGGATCAGGGTCGGATCGTTTCATTTATAACATATTAAACTAGACGCATATCATATCAAGAGTTATCATTACTCGCTTGCGGTCAGACATGGAAGATGGTCCGCCTTCCACAAGCTGTTTCCGAAGGTTCACGGACTGTTTCCTTGGCTCAAGTAGGTATACTTATTATTTCCCTTGCGTACTAGTAAGAAAGGGTGTCGCAAAATGTAACGTTTCTGTTGCGCACTTGCATTGCGTTGCGGCTGCATATTGGCAAACTTTTGAATTTATTTTCCAACGTGAAGTTTGGCTGGCAATATTTGCGCAACGGCTGCGTGTGAATGATTATGTCTATTACAGTTAAGTTGTTTATATAATTGTCTCTCATCACCTGTTATGTGTGTTGATGAAGGTTTACGGACTGTTTCCTTGGCTCAAGTAGGTATACTTATTATTTCTCTTGCGTACTAGTAACTAAGGGTGTCGCAAAATGTAACGTTTTTTTGTTGAGCACTTGGCACTGCGTTGCGGCTAGTTCATATTTTCTGATTTTCATAGTATGTGAATGAATTCCGGTATTTTTACCATAAAGTGACATATCAACCATTTGGTAGAGGCCGATATTTAAAAAATTATGGGATGTGTTGAAAAAAAAAACATTGAGTGTGGTAACTAGCGACATAAGGAGATAAGAAATGCAAACAAAAAATTTTTCAAATGCCTTTTTTTTGGTGGGGCAGTTAAAGGGTTAAAATGCATGGAGAGGAGACACGAGTCAACTATTTTCTACTGGCATGTAACTTAGTGTCATATGCATACATGCATAAGCATGCATTTATTTATTGAAGAATTGCAGAGACTAAACAGTGGACCTGTTTGTAAAAAAAAAAAAAAAAAATCCTGCGCTACTTAATTTAGTCCTTGATTAGGCTACCAATCAGCGGCAGAGTTGCATTATTAACCCTGTTGTTGTACATCTACATTTACTAATAGTGTTAATACATCACATAGTGAGCAGATGTTTTCTGTACATACAGTAATTTAATATGTAGTAGAAATCACATGCAGGATCTTTAAAATGTTTTCATGGATGAAGCAAGACTTGTTGGGTGTTACATGTGGTTTTAGTCTCAGTGTCTACTGTCTACAAATACACATTTTGAGATATATGAGCTGCAATAATAATATATGCATTATGTTGAAATGAGTAACTTATTTCAGCGATTTTTGCTTTGTTGTTACTATACTCATAAATTCACTACAAGTATATTAATTGCTTATTTTACATATGATGATAAAATTTCATGTGGCATTTTGCCTATTTGCTGGAGGAAGAAAAACAGTCAAATACACATATTTTAGCTACCGTGCAAGACAAAGCTTGACTGAGTGTTCATCATAATGCAAGTCTACACAAATGACAATTATTAATTTATTTAGAAAGAAACCATATTTAGTAGCGAACAGGCAGAAGCAAAGCTGTTTCTTTTCACATGCATACTGTTCATAATGGTCAGCAGTAAACTACATTTAGACACTACAACTAACCTAGTGCATTGAAAAACTATGTCAGTCACGAAAAAAAAAGTCCCACAAAAGTCCCAAGCAGATAGGAAATGATCACAATGTAAAAATGATAAACAGTGATAGGCCACACTTAATCAGCACTCTCTCCTGCACACTTTGATCTGATGCCACAGTAAGCTATCAGAATGAGATTGTTTAGATCACACTTGTTAGAGACTTTGTATTTTTTCAGAGCTTCACATGCAGAGGAATTATTGGATGTTGTCCTCAGTGCATAGCAGCTCAAAGTGTGCGTGAGGGACAATAGTGTCGAGATTGTTTCGGTGACCTCCTCTGATGGATATCATGGCAGAATTAGCATTGAACATATTGACATGAGGGCACCACGTAAGTGGTGTGCCGTGGTACTAATGACAGGTAAGCAAGAATGTCACAGGCTTTACTGAGGTTACAGTACCTTGAAATGTCTGCTTGTGATAATGTTTTCTCATAAGAAGGGTGTAATTCCTTGCAGTCAGTGGATACATACAAAATGCATACTATTCATACTGTAGAGCGTTTTCCTTAAAACATTATTGGAAAATACCAGGCATAAAGGGTCAGAAAAGTAATTGTCTATAAACCTCTGTATTTACCATGCATCTGTCCTGTACTGTACATTCATACAACAAGAGGTAAATATAGTGTGTTTATTTATGGGCGTTACTGTGAAATAAAAGTACTACTCATATTGTGATATACTGTAAGATTTTGGTCATATTGCCCACCCCTAGGTCCATCAATATGCAAACGTTATAACAAGACATAGGCTTAATAAGAACACTGATATTTTAGTTTTACTTTGTTGTTGTAGTAAGAGTGTTTGGTTTCCAAATGTCTCATGAATTATGATGTTTTCTGTCCACAGCTGATAATTTGCAGCACAGAACACACTCTGGTCTGCACAAACCAAGTTTATCCACGCTGCAAATCAAACAGTATTTATTGTAGTCTGGGTTGTATTTTTCCATACTTTGTGTAGTTTTACTCATGGTTTTCAAGCATGTCATGCAACCTGTCCGTGTTGGCGTCTGGTTTCTACCTGGTGACAGATTCATTTGTTTCAAAATATTGTAGATTTTGATTAGACTTGTGGCCTTTGACATCAGCAGCACAGATATGGGAGGCCTATTTATTTTGCTATGCTAACTGTATAGACAATTCTATTTAGTTGCATTTTGTCTTTTACAGTTAGCAGTGTGTTATTCCTGCGGTTCACAAATTAAAAAAAGACCTACAGCCCATTTTGTGTTGTAATATTTTATTTTTTACTTTTTCTAAACAGGACAGAGATTACAATAAACTTTTATTCGCGATCTATACTGTACTTAGATGTTGCACTACATATTTGTATGCGTTTTTTTGTTATTATTGTTTTCATTTGACAAAACAGCCTAGAATGACAGGAAAGTGGAGGGAGAGAAAGAGGGAATGAGACTGGGGCATGAAACAGGCCATGTGATTTAGATGCTTAACTACATATTAATGGAGAATCCCAGAAAAATTCAATATCAATATCAGTCAGGAATAGTGGAATAAAAAGACTCAGAATCATTCTGGAGTGGAAAAAAAAATTATTTTGCATTCATGTTACTGCAGTGCTCTGTGGTAAGAGTGCAGGAGTGGAGCAGTGTGGTGGTGAAGATGTTCGGTATGTTGAAGGGAGCTTGCGGCTGGTGTCATTGCATCTCTCAGAGGCAGTGCTGAGTCTTCGCTTCCTGCTGCTTTCTGCAAGGCTGCTGATATCCGCAGGTCACCACACACAAACAATGGAAATACAGCATTGTTTTCTACATTTTTTGGCATGTATCTTTTATTTTTTTTATTTAAAATTTTGGATTATTATGGAAGTCTCGTGAAATCACACAAATCCATGTTAGCTGAGGTCCATTGACAGATATAATTTTTGATTTTAATATTGTAAATGTTGAAATTAACATTAAGATTAATACGTTTTAGAAATGTTTTTCCTTGTTAGTTCACGTTACCAAATGTAGTCAACTAATGTTAGCAAACACAACCTTATTGTAAAGTGTTACTAATGATTCTTATGAGCTAGTTCTTTTTAATGAAATAGATAGAAAGTCTTACCAATCAGTTTTGAGTGCATTAAATATCATTTAATTCATAAATTCCTTGTGATTCCCTCTAAGGGTGACTTTGGGGGTTAGAATTATTTATAATTTTATTTTATTTTATTATTTATATATATATATATATATATGTATATTTAAATAGGATCCCTACATTACATTCAGAAACATTTTATTACTTAATGCATTACATGGTAAAAGTTAAATAAATGTGCTGAACAAAGCGAAACAACCCAAACCAACACAAGACAAAATTTGGACCCAAATTTAATTTGACAGTGTGTAGTAAGATGTTATCTCACCCCTGCAACAGATTAGATCTGAAAAAGTTGTTCAGTCTTATGACGGCATTTTATCCGAATGTTTGGGACGAGGCATGCTATCAGTGGTGTGGTGTATATCAGCCCTGCCCAGTGTGTGTGTGATGGACCTCTCCACAGAGGCCGTTTTTGAGGCTACTCCAGGTCAACACTAATGTGATCTGACAGGCCATCTACAGAGTGCTTAACTCAATGAAGAATGCTGCATTGTCATGCAAGACACTTCCTCCCCCAGCTGGATGTCATTTAATCATCCCAGTGAATCCCCTTCTCAAACGGCCTTTCACTAAACAAGTCAATGAAACAGCTTCACATGATATACATTCAGCAGTCTGCCAGACATACAGAATGTCGAGACGCACTTTTGAAAATGTCATTAGAAAGTCTAGCATCGGCCAGTGGACAACTGGACAATTTGACAAAGTTTTCAAATGCATCTTTTCATTCTTGATTTATGAAGGTAGCAAGACATTAAGGACTGTCTGAATCCAATGTTTTCATGATGTCCTGTCTATTAAGATGTTTTTATCTGGTCTGTTAAAGGCATTATTAATGTGTCCTTCGATGCATGTGATATCCCACAATCCTGTTCAGATGGTTCACCTTTTGGTGGAAAGAATAAAAATGGTGTCTGATGGACTAGTTGAAGATAAGTTCATAAATGTTTGATTTTTTATCGGTTTTTACTGAGAAATAAGCATTGCAGTCATTACATATTTGTTTGCCTATGTGTAATGCTCACTTTAACTGGTTTATTCATTAAAACAACACATTAGATCATTAGACATGGTGTGGAATTTTCTTTAGGATGTGCCTTAATACACAAATAGTGCCACTGACTTCAGTTTTGCCTCAACCAAAAGCCCATTTGTCAGAATTATGGCATATATTGGCATGTAGAAGCTCATGCGAGTGATGCAAGTGCATGTTTGGCCTGCGTTGTGTTCTGATTCCAATCCTTCCATTTTCTCTTCAATACTGGTTCTGGTTCTGAACAAAAAATATATTATTATTATTATTATTATTGAGATGGTTGATTTCTAATTCCCTTGGCAACATTTTCAGATATTCTTTTTTTACAATCAATTCTAACAGAAGAGTGAAAGATCTGTAACAAATAAGTTCCCTTTCATGGGAACAAGACACTGCATCCTCTAGGGGTCGCTATGGGGAACGCCTCGACATGACCCGTGT